CAGATAAATTTGTTAGTCTCTAAGGTGCCACAAGTACTCCTTTTGTTATTGTCCACCTCGCAGACCAAAAAGATCCAGATTGCTTCAGATCATAGAGCAGGTGGAGGTCTTCAAGAGAGGCCCATTCTGTGATCTGTTCCCCGGCTGTGTCATTTAAGCAGTATCCCTAGTCTTCGTGATGGCTGTTAAAGTCACCTATGTAGATGGCCGGATGAGGAAGGGAAGATAAGGTGGGATCAGGCCACATGATGTTAGGTGGTTGTATATTTTTTTACTGTAATGATGTCCCTAATTCTAACCATGTTGATCTCTCACCCACTGGTCGATGATTCTTCCAAAACTTCCACATCCTCTAATCCATTTCGCATGTACACTGCTAGCCCATGTTTTGGATAGTTGACAGCAGTGATTTCAGTATAGCCATAGATGATATATCTGTCAGCTTTATCTTTTTCTTTCATGTGTGTTTCTTGGAGGGCCACAATGTCAACGTGATGGTTTCTGAGGGTCCTCGAGAGGTAATCTGCTTTTTCCCTGGACATCCCTTCTACGTTAAGTTGGTATATTCGGAGGACTGGCCCAACTGTTCTTTTTGGGTCCTGGAAAGGGTAGTCTGAGGAAGTATAATCATTGCTATGTTCACTGGGAAGTTGGTAAAATGTCATCCAGTGGCCAGTTGACGACACTTGTATGTTTGGATTTGCACAAAACACAGAGCTCAAAAAAACCCAGCATTTAACAGAAGCACCACATAAAGGTTGTCTTGCTCTTGCTGTGCTGAGTAAATAAAGCACACAGAACCACATGATAGAGCTGTGATCATTAAGAGCAGCTCACCATGCTATTATCCTGCTGTTACCCAGGGCTGCAAATTGTCTATAAAATGACTGTTTTAATCTGCTAAAATATGAGCTTTTGCAGGGCCAGGAACACTTTTAATTTTTGGAGTTGGTACACCAGGGAAAATACGGGGAGTGGGGGGAGAATGCTGTTAATAAAAAGGTTTGGTTTAATAAAAGAAGCTTATAAAATAGCAGAAAGACTACTGGGGAGGGTATTTTCTGAATCTTGTACGACTGAAGTCACCTCAGTGAATGGAGTGTAGGCTACAAAACCAGATACCCTTCACTCTGTAAATAAGTATTTAGCAATCTGCAAAGGGTGGATGAGATGGAAAGGAAACAATATATATTTTGATATAGCATCTGAAAATTAGATGGAAAGGAAACAATATATATTTTGATAGCATCTGAAAACTTGTAGCCTCTTTTCTGCAAAGTGATCTCCAGTTCTGCAAAATTGCATCAGTGAATTTATGAGCACAAGACTCAGTGATTATCTGATATCACCCATTGTGCAAACATTAGGATCAATTAAAATTTTTAACTGCAAGGCAAAATTATGGAAGATTATCATGGATGAGATGCTACATTTATAGGTTTAATTAAATTGGTTTATAATGGGTTCCAGCAAAATTAAAACCACGCTGTCTCGGTTAAGCCTTATTTGGTCAGAAGTTACATACATATTTGCTTTAAAGCATGTGACTGTTTTTTCTGTTTTGTTTTTTGTTTTTTTTTATTGGAAGTTAATTTTCAACTCTCTGTGAGAAATAATAACACGCAATACAATTAGTAAATACACAATACAATTAGTAAATGTAGTTTTTTTTCTGTATCTGTTTGGGTTTTTTTTTTAGTACAACTCCCATGCAGAGTGTTGTATCTATGGGAGATCTAAATGCAAGAGCAAAAGAAAGGAAGTTAAACATTTATTCTGATTAAGGAATTACTGTAGGGCAAGGCTAGTCATTAGCCCCACCATGTCAGGAGATAAAAATCCCTAATGGAGCAGAGTTGGGGACTAGCATCTTGTAACACATCTCTTGTCTCCTGGGTCAGGTGACCTAGAATACTATAAAGTGGGAGCTTTGGTGGATCCTACTTGAAGTGTCAGTCTTTCTTTTTGCTATGATAAGTTATACCAATGTTATTGTAATTTTTTCTTGTTGAATTGAATGGGAGGCTTTAAGAAACCTAGACTGAAAAGCATATGTGTCTGAATCTTAGGTGGTCCACCCCCAGTACTTGGGTTCTGTACCAGATGAGTTAGTGACAAGCAGAAAGGGATGTGTGTCAGATACCCAGGACAACCATTGGTAGTTGGTCGCTCCTAGGGAGAAAGAGTAGCACGTGAAATGGACCAAGCTACTTGTGAGAGCAATTGTGGCTTGGCACTTCTTCAGCTGATACACAAAGCAAAACAGTGTGAATGAATGTGTGAGTTAGGTATGTAGCTCTTGAAAAGGAGCATTCAGATAGGAATACACGTTCTGTCTTGCAGCCTGTCCAGCAACTTACTTACGCTCACAGGCAGCTTTTTGTTCATCAGGGTCTTCATCACTGGCCCTGACTTTGAAAAGAATTTTTGCAATGTGAGTAATCGCCACTTCCTGTTCCTTTACACAGTGTGTATCCTAGTACAGTGGTTTTCAAACCTTTTTTTCTGGGGACCCAGTTGAAGAAAATTGTTGATGCCCGCAACCCAATGGAGCTGGGGATGAGGGGTTTGGGGTGTGGGAGGGGGCTCTGGGCTGGGGCAGCGGGTTAGGGTGCGGGAGGGGGTCAGGGCTCTGGGCTGGGGCTGGGGATGAGGAGCTTGAGGGGCAGGACAGGCTTTAGGTTTGGGGGAGGGTTCAGGGCTAGGGCAGGGGGTTGGGGTGCGGGAGGGGGTCAGGGCTCTGGGCTGGGGGTGTGGGCTCTGGGGTAGGGCTGGGGATGAGGGGTTTGGTGTGCAGGAAGGGGTTCCAGGTTTAGGGGGGCTCAGGGCTGGGCCAGGGGATTGGGACAGGGACTCCAGCGGCTCCCAGTCAGTGGCGCAGCCAGGGTGCACCGTGGCCCGGACTGCGGCCCAGAAGCAGCCAGCAGCAGGTCTGAGTCCTAGGCGGAGGCGTGCAACTCTCGCCTGGAGCCACCGCGCCCTCCCCCCCCCCAGTTCCCATTGGCCGATGACTGGCCAATGGGAGTGTGGAGCCGGTGCTTGGGGTAGGGGCAGCGCCCAGAGCCCCATGACCCCCCTGCCTAGAAGCTGAACCCGCTGCTGGCCGCTTCCGGGGCACAGCGCGGTGTCAGAAAAGGTAGGCACTATCCTGCCTTAGCTGGGCAGCACCACCAACGGGACTTTTAACGTCCCGGTTGGCAGTGCTGACCGGAGCAAGGCGACTCAGCGCCTTACATGCCACGACCCACGGTTTGAAAAACACTAGCCTAGTACAGCAGTTCCCAAACTTTAGCAACTCCATTTTGATTTAAATTTTTTCACGGACCCCCCACTCAGCCCCAGGTCCCGCTCCCACTCCACCCCTTTCCCCAAGGCCACACCTCTTCTCGCCTCTTCCTTTCCTCTTCCATGCCTCTTTCCATCCCTCTCTTGAGCATGCTCTCTCCCCGCTCCTCCCAGTGCCTCCTGCACCCCACTGAACAGCTGTTCCCCGTTGTGCAGGAGACACTGGGAGGGAGGGAGAGAGGGAGGGAGGAGGAGTTAATCAGCGAGTCCCGCAGACCCCCGGAGTACCCTCGCAGACCCCTGTTTGAGAAACGCTGGCCTAGTATATACAAGCTATGCTTGAGCAGTATTTAAAGATAGGACATTTGGTTGATGTGCTGTTAGTTGTGTGATGTAGAGGACTTTGAGTATCCATGCAGGTCAGCTACTGTTGGTTGGTTTCCCCTGGATAAAGTTGCAGTAGAAAATGGAGATCAGCTTTTTTAAAGAGCCAAATATGTGCCATCCTCAGAGTGAAGTGTACAGCACTTCAGCAGGTCGAGTTGAATTATCAGGCCACCTGAATTTTCATGGACATAAAGTGCAAAAATCACCCTGGCACTTGTGTAGCCAAAGTATTAGTATTGGTCAAGACTTACATTGACCAAGACAGATCTTCAGCAAGGCCTACTTACTCCTGGCTTCCCAGCTAATTAGAGTAATTTAAATGGCACTTTTTAAAGGACTCTAAGCACTAACATTTACCACTGACCCTGCTTTTTGATACCTTCAGGAGAGATGTGACTTTAAAATAGCTGATTAAGGCTTCTGTGTTTTTTGCATTTATTTTTAAAAATTAGCATGGAGGTTTTTTTTTGTCACAAAACAATAAAGCAATGAGTTTTTGGCAGCTATTCATACTAGTTGGCAGCCAGAATGTTTTAGCTTTTGTACAGGGGTTTGGCTAAATCTGAAAGCACTATTACAGTTGTGTCCTGGCTGAGTGTCTTACATTCCTGGAGGCGTGGGGAGTGAGGTGTTTTTGAAATAGCATTTTCTACAGTCCTAGAGTTGAGCAGCCTTTGAAGAGTTGGGGCCCAAAGAGCTAGAGCAGAAAATGGCACTGAAGTGTGTGTTTAATGCATTCTTGCTAGGGGAGCCCTTGAAAGAGTAGCCTTGAGGGATCCCCCGTGCAGAAACTAATAGCTCCAAAAATGCTGCTGTTTCAGCTCATCCCGTTCAAAAATTCCATTCCCTTTAGGAAAAATGTGATAACTTAGTTTTCAGACAGCTGTGCATGGGAGTTACAAAGAAATTCACAAGCTGGTTGACTTCACTAGACCCTGTGAACTGCCAGCCTATGGGGAACAGCTGCAGAGCATGCGGATTTAAATATATAGATATCTATTTAATTTTACTTTCTGTATGTCAACTTTCACAGCTAGCTGCTAAGCGTAAGCCGGCCTTCTAAGCGGGAAGGGCATGAGGCTACGAGAATTACTCGTGTTTTGCTAATTAGCAAAAAAAAGCTTTGGTGAGGAGTAGAGAAAGGGGGTGGAATTGGGGTGGGGGTGGAATTTAACATGACACTGTTAAAGGCTGTTTCTTTCATTATTGTGATTCTGTGCTGATAACTGAGGTCCCCTCCATCCCCTGTTTCATAGCAACACTTGACCTTTCTTTTAAAAAAACAAAAGAAGAACAAGCCCATCAAACCCCCATCCTTTTATTTATAGATATTTAACACTGTGCCAGAGACACTACCGCCAAACTCGCAGCTGCTGTTACTATCTCGTAAGAAGAGTACTGATTCCAAGCCTCCTTCCTGCAGCGAGAGACCATTAACACTCTTCCACACAGCACAGGCCAATGAAAACCGTAAGTATGTCAATCCTAGATGCAGTGAGTTGTGTTACAGTGCTGTACAATGTTGTGTTACAATGCTGTTATCTACTCAGAAGGTTTCTGATCATGACTGATGGGGCTCAGTTCTCACACCACAGGATACGATGCTCGCTCATTAACTTCAATAGGAGTGATACATAGCCTATAGTATGAGGGGGCCCCAGGCTTCTAAAACATCATATTAATAGAGAGAGCTAAAGCTTGTCTAATCCCCGAGCTCTTACCCCAAGGGCTTGAAATTAGGCTGTATAAAAATAGTAGTGTAGCAAATTGATATCCCTTCCCCATCTCATTTAGTTTTGCACTCATGTCTTCCATGACCCTCCATACTATTTTCTATTGGCTGCTTGGGATATATTAGTTAACTCGGAGCAGAACATCTGCAGCAAGGACAACCACCCAGTTCAGCCTTCAGAGAGATGCTTTTGGACATCAATAGATGTTTTCCCTTGAAAAGAAACAGACATTTCAGCCATCAGGTTTTACATCCCTCCTAGGAATCCCACTTCAGTTTAAAAATCTCCTCGACCATCAATCCATTACTATCACTACCATTTAGTATTTGACTCTTTCGTCTAAGGATCTGAAAGTCCCTGTCCACAAGCCAAATGTCCTAAGGGCTGTTCCACTGGCACCAATGATCCCATAGAGACAGTTCTGTGATCCCTGGGCAGCAGAACCCAAGATGTTCCAGGTACACCAATCTGCTTACCTGACACGCCCCCATGTACCCAAGGTGGAAGAGAAAGAGTAGCATAATTATGTTGGCTTTACACTACATGAGTTTCCCCCTGTGCCGAGAGAGTCCTCAAATGCCACATTTGGGTACCTTTCTGGCTGCTTTGCCTTAGTAGTGGCCAAGGATCTGGCCCTTAATCCTTAAAGGAACAGAGCTGCTTGGAGAATGTTTGTTTTATTGGGAATGAAGCTGCGTGTTGCCGGTTTCTAATGCGTTAGCAGCCATGTTGCATTGCATTAGCATCCCTGGTTCTAAAGACCCAATGAACAAAGTGAAGATGGGTTGAGGAACACCTCCCCCCGCCACACACATTTTTTTAAGTGTCTGTTAAAAATGTTAGTCCTCTGTTCACAGAACACGTTCAGCTCACCTAAAATGTCAGAGTTTTGACTAGGAAGGATCACCTCTGTATGGTGGTTCTACCTCCCCTCTGTGTGGTGGTTCTGCCTCCATGGCTCAATCAGACCGTGGCAACTCAATTCACACTTCCATCAGCACAGCTAGTACTGGTAACGTCTGTGGATTTTTTTTAATGTGGTCAACTGTCTGTTGGAAAATGGGCTGAGAGCACTGAACAGCCTGTCATTTTTAGTGTCCACACTTCAAAACAGATGGAAAAAGTGGAGATGGTTCAGAGAAGAGCATCAAGAATGATTTGAATACTGCATTACATTGAGATACTTAAGGAACTCAGTCTATTTAAAAAGAAGATCTCATCAAAAAGAAGATGAGATAAGGTGATCATGGTCTGCAAGTAAGATCTTTAATTGGAGAGGGCACTTTAATCTAGAGATAAAGGCATAATAAGAGGTAATGGCTGGAAATTGAAGAGCTAAGCAACTTAAAAATGGAAATGAGATGCACATTTTTGACACTGAGGTCAGTTTAACCTTTGGAAAAACTTAAAGGATGTAGTGAATTTAGGGTGACCAGATGTCCCAATTTTATAGGGACAGTCCCCATTTTTGGGTCTTTTTCTTATATAGGCTCCTATCTTCTGATTTTTAAAATCTATGAATCTATGAACCTTTGCTTGCTACTGACCTTGGCTGCATTTGAACCAGATGTAGAGTACGTGGATTTAAAATAAGAGAAACCTGTTTTATTATCACATTTCATTCCTTACCATTTCCCGCCACTTTATAGAGAATGCTCTAGCATCTTGTTCTTTTACTTTGATATAATAAGGCACTTCTATCACCATTTGAATGCTGTTTGTGGATAACCTGTATCATAGTACCCTGCAGCCAAGTTCTCATCCAACAGTCTTTGCACTGACTCTTCAAAAGCAGAAAGTTACTAGAAGCATGACCAGAAGAAGCTGGACATTTAGGAAAAACTTAACTGAATCTTTGTTTGCAATGCTTTTTTATCATAGATTGCAAGGGATTCTAGCTAAACCAGTGTGAAATCAGACTTGGTGATGCATTATTTGCAAATGGACAGAAAAGACGTGAAATGAGACTGGCCGAAGAGTTTAATCTGAAGTGGGTTTTTTTTTTTGTTTTTTTTTTTAAATGAGGGAGACGATTGCAGAAAACACAAGATTCAAACCTCCCTTACGTTTCGGTTTCGGTTTTTTTCCTTTGCCAGGAGGATATTTTATGTAGGATCTTGAAAAGGAAACTTGTGTATTTGATTTATTAATGGAAGCTTTATTATCTGCGGGAGCTGAACAAAATCTTAGCTGTCTGTTATGGGCTGTTCAAGGAGTGCTGCAGACAGAGGGAAAGTCTGCTCAACACAAGGGCATGTTATCATAACCTCTGGGCATGCCACGACTAAGCTACTGTACAGTTTATTATCCAGCAATCCAGAACTAGAACTTTTCCAGGTGTGGCTCTCCAAGTGCCCGCTGAATCAGACAGGCACTTTATAAAGTGACTTTTCTGCTTTCTGTATAACAGAAATGAATTTGTTCTACGCTATTTATTGTTTCATTTTTGGAGATATCTGGCCAACTAAACTATCACAATGAAGAAACCTTAACTTACACTGTTTAAGTGCTCAAAATAGAGTTTTGGCCTTTTAAAAAAGGGGAAAGAATTTAAAAAACACCAAAAACAACTTCTCTCCCAACTTCCTCAGGTGAAACATCCTCAGCTCCCTTGCCTGGGAATTATTTCAATTTAATACATACTGGTAGTCCCCTTTAAAATTATCCAGGCAGTTGACACAGTTTTGATAGGTTCAAGGGCCTTATTTTCACAGGTTAGCCTCGGGCAGAAAGTGCTTGAAAATAACAAGCTGTGTGGTGGAGATGATGATCTACTAACTCAGAAATCTAGACTCCTCACTGCCTGCCATTGGTATCAGTTCAGTTAGGTCCAGGTACAGAATCTAATGAAATACAGGCCTTTCCAGATCTGCGCTGGGGGGAGATTACATTTTAAAAAAATAAAAATACCCTAGATAAAATAATACTACAATCTGGTATGACTTTGGCCAGCCTATTTTTAAATCTTTAAATTTGACTAATTTCCTTCTTAATGTATCCCCAGTTCAGTGCTCTTTTAATGCCACCAGAATGGAACAGTCACACCAATTTCTCACTTCTGTCTTCTCTTCTGTGGATGACCCCTTTCATTACAAAGAATTTCCCTTCTCTCCCCAGCAAGCCTGACTGAATTTCAGAAACCTCTCACATCAGATCATTACGTTACCTCTCGTAGGGTGTCTATGCTTTTGAGCTGGGGGTGTGATTCCCCGCTCGAGGAGACATATTCATGTGAGCTGTCATCAAGCTGGCATGCTAAAAATAGTGCAGTTGTGGCAGCACAAGGAGCGGGGGCTAATCACCCTGAGAGCATGTCCCTCGGAGAGGTTAGCTAAGTGCTCAGGGCAGTTAGCCACTCCTGCTGCTGGAGCTATCTTCTGGTTTTTTTGGTGCACTCACTCAATGAGAGCTAGCACAAGTGCGTCTACTCGAGCTGGAATCACACTCTCTGTTCAACATTTAGACATACCCTTAATGGGAACCAATGGCACTGAAAATGAAGCGACGGTATAAGCTCCCACCGTACTCGTCACTGTGCACTCTCTTGTCTCATCCGTCCTCATTTCCTTCCTGTTATGCTGAGATCTCTCTGAGCTATACCAAAGTGATGCTTTAAGTTGCCTATAACTACTGACCAGTCTACTTCTCCAACCCCAGACACTTCTTTCTTACAATACACATAAGGACACTTACGTAATTGCATAAATGACAATAGATTTAGTCTCAATTTAGTGTAGGTGAGAACAGAAAATGGCTCCTAGTTTCCAGAAGTGCAAAGAACAGGGGGGATGACAGGTGGATAGACGTACCGGAGGTTTCTCACAATGATAGCCAATGGTCCTATGCTCTAACCGCGTTGCCAGTGGCTTCTGCAAAAAACGGTTGGGTGTCAGGATCCCTGTGGCATTTGTCCTTGCCGATTTGTGTTAAATTGGTTAGTTACAGCAGCCTGGGAAGACAGTGTGGTTTAGTGGAAGGGTCACAGGTTTGGGAGTCAGGAAATGTGGGTTCTATTCACAGTTCTGTCATAACCGGTTCTGTGAACTTGGGCAAGTCACATCACTTTGCTTTAATTGGTCTGTGATATCCAGGAGGTCAGGTGAGATGATCTGATGGTGTCTTCTGGCCTTGGCATCTATGAACCTCTCTGTGCCTTTGTTAACTTTTTCAGCCTTTCTCTGTCCTGTTTTTTTTAGGCTGTGGACACTTCGACGTAGGGACTGTTTTTCCTGTGTGTTTGCGCTGTGATGAGCACAGGAGTCCGAATCTCAGCTGAGGCCTGTAGGCTCTACATTAATATAAGCCAATAATAATAATAACTAATAATACAGCAACATTGTAAAAAGTGGCTGTATTCCAGAAGTTGCTTTTCTGAGAGGCATAACATGCAACCCTCACATGGATAGGGCTAGTTTTCTAATAACTGTACAAGTTTTATAATGCTGTATTTACAAGAATGAAACCAGACACTGTTTTAAACCTACCCAATAATCTTTGAAACATAACAAAAAGAAAACATGACGAGGTGCTGTTTGTCCTCCGGGCAAGGATTCCTCAGCCCTCTATAATGTTTGCTGTCAGCGTGTATAGTGCACCTATCGGAAGCATGAACATTAAAAATTGAAACACATACAGAAATAAATCCAAATTGACCATGTCACCAGTAAACTGAAAAACTTTCCACCTCACAAAAGATTAAGATTCTGCCCATTCAAGGAACACTTGAGGAAACAATATGTGCTGTGCAGTGTGCTCTGCAAGTCAACAGATGGTTAGACCAAGGGGGTGGGGAGGAGATAAGGAGAGAATTCAGGAATTGAAGATCCTCTGGTGAGCACTCCCTGCCCAGACATACAAAGTTTAGCAATTGTTACCTGGAACATTCCAGGTGATCATAATGCCAGGCTGGAAAGAGAGAGTGAGTCTATGGTAGGCAGGACCCAACCCATGGAGGGCTTTTATTGATCAAAATCAAACCTTGACATGAAGCCAGTGCAATCTATGAAGTGCTTGTGTAATATGCTTCACCATTCATTAAGCAGGCTGGCATTTTTGCTCTAGCTGAAGCTTGCTGGTAGTTTTCAAGGGTAGTCCCATGCAGAGTAAAATGTATTCCAGTATGGAGCTAATCCAGGCATGGCTAACTGTAGTGACATCCACATCTGAAAGGAAATGTCAGTCACCTTGTCTAGTAAAGATGGAGAAAAACATTCTTGTGCATTGCTGCTTACTAGACATAAAGTAGTAGCTGATGATTTAATATCCTCTGTTTGCCAAAAGCCGGGAATGGGTGACAGCGGATGGATCACCTGATGATTACCTGTTCTGTTCATTCCCTTTGGAGCACCTGGCATTAGCCACTGTCAGAAGACAGGATACTGGGCAGATGGACCTTTGGTCTGACCCAGTATGGCTGTTTTTATGTTCTTAATATCAGCCTGAGCTTGTGAACCCAAGTTACAGTTCACAGGCTTACCCGCTCAAATGAAAGGACATCTGTCACCACCTCCATCTCCCGTTGCTTCTTCGCCATCACCATATTCCTATCCAGATGCAGTTTTAGTTCACTAACTTTCATCCCAAACCCAGACTTGTCCAGACACTGGGTATATACAGTGACTGCACTGTATGGATCTGATGAAGAATATTAGAACATTGTAGAGACATTTTGGGAACAGCCACAAAAAGCCCTTAGGGATTGGTGCACTCCGCCCTGGTGCTATTTCTCCCTCTAATTTATTACACCGCCCCCTTCTTCTCTACACTGTCTGCATAATATTTCATTCATCTTTTGATTCCTACAGAGCATCCATCTATGCTAGAAAAAATAGTATTTGTATTATAGTAACAGCAAGCGATGGTGCAGCTGCTGCTAGTGTAGACAGGGTGGATTTTATCACTCTGAAATCTGCCTATCGTGAGCACCCCCTACTGTTAGCAGTGATGTTGGCATTACGCCCACCAGTGCAGCTGCACCATTGCTGGCCTGCTATCTGTTAAGTGTCAGATCCTTAGGGGTCTTGTATTAATGTCGTATGGGCCGCATTCTCCTTTGTTATGCCAGTGTAAATCCAGAGTAGCTCCACTGAAGCCTGCAGGGTGAAATTGCTACTGAAAAACAAAGGCAATATGATTCAACAATTGGAGACCAAAGGAAATGCAGAAGTGAAAACATGGCAATGATTATACTTGAGATATTCTGGTGAAAGGTGCTGTATGTGCACACAGTGCTTTACCAAAGTACTATCCCCATTTTCTGGATGGGTAAACATGGACATGGAGAGGTTAAGTAACTTGCCAAGGTCCACATCACAAAATCAGAGCTCAGCATCGTGTGCAGTCTTGGTTACAGGTCAGAATTGAAGTGTGTTCTCAGGGCTGTGTAGGAGATGCCCAACCACACAGTTTGCCCAGCATGGGCTTCTAGGTCTCTTCCATGAGTATTAAATTCACTTGCAAAATATTGTTAAGCACAAATTAATCTGAATTTTCTAAAAGTACTTGCACACATCCAGAGCGAGAGGAACGCTGGATTCAAACAAATATAAACCTTGGAGAAATTTAGACCTTGATCTGGGTCCATCTCTTGTGTGCCCAGTTGGGTTCCAAGGCTACACATCTGGCTTTCCCCATACCCAGGCTGGCCTACTCTAGAACACCTTTGGCAATCCTGTGCTTTGAAAGGGTGTTCTGATTATTACAATAGCCCCAACTCAGGTTTTTGTGTCTCTGGTGGTCCTAATGGTAATTAACTCAAACGTGTCACCGCATCCAATTCCATTTATGTTAAATAAAATATACATTTATTTGCATAGGAGACCAGAATTGCAAAACAACAGGAAATAAACCCATCTGGTTGGACACAATGACAAAGGTTCCAATCCAGTGTTACAAAGTGTAAAAATATTACCTAGAGCATAGATGAACCAAGTGTGTGTGTCTCTGAGCTGACAGGTTGAGAGAAGCTGTTGACAGTCTTGAGTCATAGTTCTAGCATGTGTAACCCTGGTTTTCCTTTTGCCCTTGTCCATGAACCCTCTGTTAATATAGTCTTCATCCTTTTGAAGTGGTGATGAAGAGGTTACCCAATGCCATGCTCTATTATGGTTGTGACAACATTGTTTCTAAGTTATTTCACAGTACTGCACAGGATTTATTCCTGTTGTGTATCCAAGATTAACTTTTAATATTACAGAGGTGTTCCACTCATATTGTTTATGTTGGATTTCTGTTCTGTTCCTTGTTCCTCTGTGTACAAAAATATAGATGCACATTACAAGTTTTTCCCGAGAATCCAGCAGAGATATCTGATTGGAAGAGACTGGGAATAAGTGATTCATATAAATTCTCATTAGCTTTGTTGATAGCCTTTAGTACAATGCAAATGGAAAATCACTGCTTTGGAAAATGAACTATGAAAGAGGTGTTCTCTATGATTTTTAGTCCATCCGAGGGACACCACCTCTCTTCATGATTACATTGTCTTTCATGACAGCAGAAGCAGCCCGAGCTCTGGGACCCTCCCACCTCGCAGGGTCCTAGAGCCGGTCATTAGCCCGAGCCTGAATGTCTTTACTGCAATTAAACAACCCCTTAGCATGAACCTGAATCAGCTGGCATGGGCCCAACCAGGGGTTTTTCACTGCAGGGTAGATATGCCCTTAGAAACATTTAGGTGCTTCAAAAAGGGATGCTAGTGATTCAGTGGCACTATTCCCTCTGAGTCAGGACAGAATCAGTGCCTCTGTGGTGTAGGATGGTGAGGTGAAAAGTATAGTGTAGTCCTAGAGATGCTCTTTCAGATGAGGCATAAAATGGAGGTGCTGAACCATAGCACTAATTCCAAGAAAAGATGTTAATACAGCCGGACGGAAAATGGACAAAAAATGTCTTAACATTTTCTTTGTTTATGTGAACATCTCATTATTGACTATGGAGCTACTTGGGAAATAGCTCTAATTGTTAATCTAGTACCATTTTAGGTAGTAGCATTTTCCCTAAATAATTTCAGTTAGGTAATCTGTTCTTTACTTTCTATTCTATCCTGTTGCTTTGCAGTGTTTCACCCTAGACGTGGCTGAATTTCAGGCATGGGAAAATTGATCCCTGTGTATAATTTTGAATGTTTATTTAAAGTGTGCATAGGGCTTCGGGATTTTTGAGTGTAAGATGATATTAGTGGCCTGAGATAACCGGTGAATGTTTTACTTACCAAAAATGTCCTTAATTAAAAAGTGTTTGCATCATCAGAATAAGAGAACTCATGTTTTATATTGTTTCAGCTTTAAAGAATAGTATAGGTGAAGAAACTTCTATATACTCCATGTACTTCCCTGGGATCAACATAAAGACATAAGCTATTAATAGAAACTGTTCTACCTTGCAAAAGTCTGTTCTTTACTTTCTAACAACGTAATAGGTTTTACTTAATGATATTAATGTATATTTGTTGTTGTTTTTTAGAGGAGACAAGGAACAGTATCATCAACTCCAGCCTGGAATCGGTCATCTCTTCAAATGTCAACAGCTTCCTCCACTCCAACAGCACTCTCCAACCCAACCTGAACTCGAGTGACCCTGACCTAGAAGTAATTAAACCTAGTCGGCCAAACTCGCTGTAAGTACAGTGATAATTAGTATGTCATAGGGTCTCTGTCCAGCCAACCTACATATCTTCAATCAGGGCACTGTCTTAGTCTGAGTCAAAGCCATCTGCTGAATATAATTTAACATTCTATTTTTTTAAAGGGAGCATAGTTATGTGCATTGCATTTTTAACTATGCATTGCTCTTTAATTTTAGAATTAGTTACTGTTTTTTATACTTGTTGGCTACTTTGTGCTCTAATTATTTTGAATGTCTAGGGTATTTTGATCATTTTCAAATAGATCCTTACATTATTGCTTGCACTGTTGTGAAGCATCTGGTGTTAAGCTCTGGGAAGCATAGAGGAAAGTAAATAAAACAGTGGAGCATGGCACTAATGGAATTGTTTTCTTCCTACTTCGTTAAAATCTAAGACTGCTGTCAGTACAGTTGGTCTCCAACCAAATGTGTGCCCTTGTTTCTGATATTACTTCCCTTATCCGGAAAGTTTAAGGTAAAAAAATAGCAGCTTTAATGATGACTCCAAGGGAATGGCTGAATTATTGTGAAGTCTCCTGAATCAGTCACAGCTGAGCTGTGGCATGTGCTGCTGAGGGGAATTTCCTTCCTTTTGAGGCTTTGCTGTGTCTGTCAATATTTTCTCACAGACCCTCCCCATCCCACAGATCTGAAGGTTTGAACAGATCCCCACCAGACACTGTGGAACTCTTACAAGCCTAAGCGAAGTTTAGTGTCTCTCCCAGTTTTTCTGTGTTTCTCAATGTGCTTCTAGATGGCACTTAATAAATCATGTCAACAGACATCTCTTTGGAATGACTAAGAAGAACGCCACACTAGCTAGGGTGCTGTGACAAAAATGGCATTGGCATCATGCTGTGACCTTCTAATGTCTAAGGAAGAGTCCCTTTTCCCTCACCGCATCCACGCCTTTCTCGCTGTACACTTCAAAGGGTGCAAATTTCCACTCTGCTCTAAAAGCTTTATGGTCCCTTGGCAGTGAATCATAGAATCACAGAAAAGTAGGACTGGAGGGGACCTCGACAGGTCATCTAGTCCAGATGAAGCTTCCTACTTTAGCCGCTGTATCTGCTCTTGTGATTAACAACCTAGGATTCGGTAAATTGGGGAAGTGAATGAGTATGTCAGCAGTGCAGAGCTATTACCTGTAGAGGTTTGAAAAACAAGGCTGTTGTCTGTACTGAGAGTAGTTTTTCTGAACTGGGTGGGAATGTCTCTATATTTGTGTTGTTATACTGTGTAAAGATTTAGGCCCACATTTGTAGAATTTGGTATCGGCAAAAAATATGCCCATACTGCAATTTGTGTAATTCCCTGTGTAGATGAAGTGCACACACATTATCATGAACATGTTTTTGAAACTCCAATTTCTGGTTTCTGTCAATAGGTTTTACCTCACTCTGTTGATTCTGGTTTTCATTAGAACATGGATATCATGAATGAGGGATCGGACTAATGAAATAAAGTTTTGAATACCTGATGTTTACACCTTGGGTAGGACTTTGTAAACAATTTGGTCTACAGGAGTTGAAGCGTTCCTAGTATAACTGATTGTCTGTTCTTGAAGTCTTTTCTACCCTACACAATATGTGATCTGCAGGGGTTAAGGGGTGTACGCTAGTGATTGGTTACTTTCACTAAGACAAGTTTTTCTCCAATACTTTATCTGTGAGACTTATAGACTATACACAAAAGACTATACACAAAACCCCAGCTTGGGTTGTAAGTGCTAGTGAGTGGGGAATTTTGTTTCCTAGGGATTTTTCTTCCAAGAGATTCTTTGGTTTCTACCTGCTGAATGATGATTTCTGAATACTTTTTTGGAACCTCCGGAACCAATGGCATCTGATGGAAGAGTTCCTTGGAAGGGGGATGGTACTCCCAAAAATAACCCCCCCCCCCCACATCTCCCAAGGAGCTATAGTCTAATGAAGGGGCAACTGGCCATGACAGACCGCGACAACAGCACCAGGGTGAAAGCCTAAGCTATTACTGGCTCCAGGAGGAGGGATGTGTTCTGCATGCACAGGACGGGTATGACCCAAATCCCGCTTAGGCAAAGTGCAGCCTTGATGACCCTAACTTTCTGAAGTCTAAAACAGCCCTCAGAGGCACATTCCATATCACCGTATGGCAAATGTCAACACTGAACAGAACTGGGTGCAGGGCAGCTCTTGTCAAAGAACTCACTCGTTATAGGATCATAATCATCAGCACCACCGAGGCATGTCTGCCACAGAGTGATCAAGTTACTGTGAAAGGAGCACCATCCTCCTCTCCAGTGGTCCACACCAAACTCAAGGTGTGACACTCATTATTAGACAACTTCCAGCACAGACTTTAACCACCTGGAAACCCATTTCTCCATGCTTTTACTATGCTGGGCTCCTACATCATCATGAATATCTGTCTGTCGTTGTGGCCTACGCATCTATGGAAGACCTGCAGAAAAGGATGCATTCTACCACCAACTAGCAGCAAAAATCCAATCAAGTCTACCACAACACACTGCTACTGCTTGGAAATTTTAGTCCTGTGACTGGCTGCAACTGAACTGCGTATGAAACCGTGATAGGTCCTTTTGGTTCAGGTTCACCAAATGACACTGCCACCTGGCTTTTGACATCGTGTGTCACTGAGCTTTTGTCTGTTATGGGGTCCTGGTTTAGATTCCGTAACAATCGTCACTGGACTTGTATTTCAAATAATGGATGTGGTATGAAAGAAATTGACCATATCCTCAACAGAAATTGCTCCATAATGAAATCTCAATGGGTTTCATTTGGCAGTGCAGACACACCAGCAAACTGAGACCATAGACTAGATGTCACACAATTCTCACTGCATCTTCCAACATCTCCAACACCTTGCAAGCCAGATGCCCACCAAAAGTACAATATCCAGCATCTATATGAGGATCCTGTTGACACTGTGATGTACACACAGGCTGTTGAGGATCACATGGAGATCTCCTGGAGTGGCATTCATAACGCTATATCACATGCTGCCGCTGAAACAATCCGCTTCAGACCATCACACAAGAAACCTTGGCTTTCTGAATAGGACTTTGATATATTTGTGAAAAATGCAGAAGCACACAAGTAGTGAAATGTCCAAGAATGTAAACAGCTGAAAGGCATTTTCCGGGTCATGGCAAAACATGACCCTGAGATCTACACCAACTCCCTGGCCGACAAAGCCGAAGACAGCCTAAAACGCAACAATCTGCTGCCTGCCTACTGAGCCATCATACACCTAGCTGGCAGCCATGAACTGATCTTTAACATCCCCATCATGAAACCAGATGGCTCTCCCTGTTCATGAACGAATGATGTCCTGGACAGATGGAAAACACATTATGAAGATGTGCTGAACCACACACTTGCCGACTACTGTCCAGAGCTATGTGACCTAGCAAACTGCATAGCTGCAGATGCAGGGACAAACACTGATCCTCATCAATTGAGGAAGTACAAAATCCCATCCAAAAATTATGGAATTGATGTGCTGCTGGACCTGATGTATTCCACCCATGCGTGAGCATCAGCCTGCATCAGCTGTTCTTAGAAGTGTGGGCATCGGGCAAAGTACTAGCAGAATGGAAAGATGGCGTCACAGTGTCCCTGTACAGGGGCAAAGGATCTCACACTGAGTGTGGCAGCTACTAGCCAACCCCACTGTTATCTGTCCCTAGAAAGTTTTTTTCTCACGCTCTGGTTGGAAGGATGCAGCCGCTCCTTAAGACATAATTGTCACAGCTGTCAGGTTTTACTGTTGGGTGGTGGACAACAGACCATGTCCTTACCCTTCAGCTTCCGTGTGAGCTGAGCAGCACCAAGAATTTAACTACCCACTTCATGTGGCATATATCAACATCGGAGTGTCTTTTGATTCAGTCCTTTGTCTCTCACTGAAAAGAGTTGGCATTCCAGATGTTCTGCTACATCTGGTGCACAATCTTCACACCGGTACCAGTGCAAGAGTGTGCATCAGTACATGGCTTTTGATGTGTTTCCACACATTGTGTGTAGCAGTGATTCATTCTCGCCTCAGTAGTATTCTGTCGAGCTATCGATTAGATATTAGGACGTGCCCTCTAAATGTCACACTTAAGGTTGGTCAAGAAGTGTTCACCAACCAAGATTATGCCAAGACTACACGCTTGCTTGTGGAGAAGTCAGATAATTTCAGCCCCGCCCTTCAAGATATCCAAGGTGCCACGCGCACTATGGGGTTGAACACCTCATGGCAGAAGACCAAGGTCTGTCACTCCAGAGCTGGGCCACCAGAACTCCAGTGCTGGGGTGGGGTCTGGTTGTCAAGTACTGTGACATTTCACACAGAGTGTGGAGAGTGTTGATGAGGCTGCAAGCAGAGTTCACACAGTCACAGCAAACTTTAGCTAATAGGTCTCACTGCCTCCTGCACGAAGTCCAAGTCTTTTTTATGGATGCAGAAACGTCTTTGCACAAACACAAAGTTTGGGATTTATCAGATCTGGATACTACTTATATTGCTATATGGATAAGATACCTGGGCCCTCTTACAGGCAGGCTTGGAGCAGCTAGAGGCATTCCATTTATGCTGTCAGCACCAAATCCTGAGTATAATGTTGGTTTGACTTTGTGCAAAACAACACAATCTCCCAGAGATCTGGCCTTCCTTCAATTGTTCATTATATTCAAAAGTGGTATTGCATGCTCTTTGGCCATGTCACTGGGATAGAAAGAAACACACTGACATGTCATGCTCCCAAACTGTCCCTTGATGCATGAAGAGGTGCATGCCCTAACCCTACCTGCCACTGCCAATGGGGCCACCCCAGAGATTCATGGACTTTCAGAATTGAGTGAGATCTGGAAACTCCACTACATGATACCTAATGCAACTCAGTCAGCTGTGGTCTCTCTGGTTGGTGCAACAGTTCTCAGTAGACTGTATTTGATGATGATGGTTGATGCTAATTCTTACTTCACAGTATGTGCCTTGGGT